TGTCCACTTTAAGCCAAAAGAAAATTACGGATTATTTTAAAAAGCTTGATTAATTTTCTACTTACAATAGTATTAAGGATTCTGTTTTAAATATACGTATTAGAAAAGTACATTTCTAATTTTTTTTTCTTTAGAGCTGAAATTGTACTAATTTTTCTCTGACTCGAATTCTCCATAACTCGAAGTTTTCTTCCGCTCCCTTAGTGATTCGAGTTAGGGGAATTTCACCGTACTAGCTTTCTAGAGTAATTCGAGATTTTCTAATATTTCGGTGGGTGTATACTCTATTTCATGTTCCTCTATTTAAATCAAGTTTTGAAAAAGAAAAATGTAGACATTAAAAGGTTCTAATGCAAACTACACTGACCGGCAAAAAAAACCGGCCACTATAAATTAGCCACAACTTCAAAGCTGGCTTTCTCGCGAACCGCGCAATCGATTTTGATGATTCTTTTTTTGATAGAAAGGTTGATTCTTCTGTAATAATCCTGCGATAGAAATTTTCATTCAGATTTTAATTTGAGCATATACGGGGTAAGAAAAATGAGAAAAACTTTTTTTCTCGAAATTTTTAACACCCTGTGGGGTGCAGCTGCTACAGCAGAGGATATTACCTGGAATCAAACAGTAGCCCAATCTTTTCTGAGCATTTTGTTTTTTTATTCACTCTATTATCTCTGTTATTAACGAGGATGCAGTATTTTAAAGCTATCGCCTGTGAAAACAAGATGAGTGACAATAGTAGTTGATGACCGTTTTATTGTTCTTAGCAATCGTAGAGCGACAGCTATAGAAGCTCGGCGTCGTCTTCAAATGGTGCATGTTGTTGATGTCAGTGAAAGAACCATTCGCTGAAAACTTGCTAGAAGGTAAGTCTCTTGCAGCAGGTCTGGCTGCCAGAAGGCTGCCAAAGGACCGAGATATCGACGAGCGCGTCTTCAATCTGCGCGCTTTAGTGTGAATTGGAAGATCGAGCGATGGAGGAAAGTGTCCTTTTTACAGATGAATACTGGTTTTGTCTACTATCACCCGATGGTCGCGAGTGAATATATTGTTTACTATACAATTATGAAACGCGAATGTTTCGATGGTGTGGCCGGGGAATTTCCAAAGAAGCCTATACAGATTTTGAATCGTTGTTAAAAGTGGCGCCTTAAATCACTGACCTTGAAACAAAAACTGGGCACCCGAAACAGTTTTGCAGAAGCACTTACATTTTCTTAGAATTACAGAATTGCGTACGTCCTTAATTATTGTAAACATCTGTTCTCAGTTCTGATATGCGGTAAAAACAAAGACAAATAAACAATTAATAATAACACGAAAATTAATAGCGTGTGGGGGGTACACGCGAGCCAAAATAACATCATGTAGTCGATGCGGCTCCGAACTGATTAGGTTCGTAATTGATTCCTGAGGAATTGCAGCAAACTCTTCTTCCAAAGCAATTCGTAACTCCTGAAGGTTGTCCGGTAGTACAAGACGACGACGAATGCGTCTCTGAAGTTGGTCCCAAAGATGTTCGATAGGGTTAAGGTCCGGGCTACACGCTGGCCACTCCATCCATTCAATACCCACCTCATTAAGATATTCACTAACCACACGTGCTACGTGCGGTCGCGCATTATCATGCATTAGCATGAATCCGTCACCAATAAAATGGGAATAGGGCACGACAGCTTCTTGTAGAATATCTTGGATATAACGGTGGGTATATAGCGTGATATTTTCAACAAAGATGAATGATGTATGCGCTTCCGTCGAAATACCCGTCTATACCATGACCGAACCTCCATGAAAAGGTACCCTTTCCGAAATTATGCAGGTCGCAAACCTTTCATTACGACGTCTCCACACTCGTTCTCGACCATCAGGTGATCGGAGACAAAAACGGGACTCGTCAGTAAAGAGCACCTTACCCCATTGTTCCATTGAAGCCCAAATTGAAGATGTGCTCGCCGATGTCTCTGGAGCAGCCGCTGTCTTTTGGCAGGTCTTCTTGCAGTCAGATCACTTTCAGCAAATCTTCGACGAATGGTTCTTTCATTTACATCAACCCCACGCACCATTTGAAGACGATGCCGAGTTTCTATAGCTGTCGTTCTACGATTCCTCAGAGTGTTTAGAACAATAAATCGGTCATCAACTGCTGTTGTCACTCGTCTTCTACCGGAACCTTGCCACCTAGTACAATTTCCTGTTTCCAGCGGTTCCAGGCATCCTGAACTGTTCTCTCGGTTATAAGCTTATACTGTTATTGTTATTATTGATATTATTTTTTTTTTCTTTTCGTTTATTTTCTGTTCAATTATTTAGTTATGTAGCACGCGCGCGGACAGTTTTTGCTTTGTTTGCTCAGACAGTTGATCGCTTTTTTGCTTCTGCTGTTTCTTCTTTTTGTTTCCTTTATTTCTGTTTCTTTTTGTGTTTTATTTTATTTTGTCTATAAACTGTCACTTATAGTTTTCAGTTAAAATGAAAATAGTTCACTTAAATGTTCGATCTTTACCGGCACATTTCGCGGCAGTAAAGAATTAATTTTGGGAGAAGATATTGATTTATTTACCTTTTCTGAATCATGGATTTACCCTGATACCGAGATTTCAAATTATTTTATAGACGGTTATCACTCCACCTTTCGTGGTCGTATTCGTGGCCTAAGGGGCGGTGTAGGTATTTACTTGAATAATTTTTATAACTTCAAAATCTTGTGTGAGACTGCTACCGGGGTCTTGGAAAGCTTATGGATTGAGGTGCGTGCCGATGCTTTTTCATTGATTATTGGAACATTATATCGCCCGGGGCGGTTCTGTTGGTGAATTTTTGTCTGAATTTGAAGATATTTTATCCGTGTTGGTTCCTCAGTCAAATTAGTTTATTTGCCTGGGTGACTTTAATATTAATGGTTTTGATATTGATGGTGTTTATGGCAATCGTTTTTTGCTTACAATTCAGCAATTCCAGCTCTGACAGATAATAACGCAATCAACTAGAACTACTCAAGTTACTGCTACACTAATTGATCATATTCTTGTTCATGATGATGTTTCTTTCTCTGATTCTGGGGTGATGCCTGTTCACACTGTCTCTGATCACTGTATGGTTTTTGTTCGGGTTAATGTTAAAATTGGGTCTAGTGATTCTCTTGAGGGTTTTACTTATAGGGATTTACGGAACTTTAATCATGAAGTATTCGTGCGTGATCTTATTTCTTTACCTTGGTATCAGTTAATACGTTTGGAGGATATTAATGACAAACTCTCTTTTTTTAACAACGCTCTGGTAAATCTCTATGATACTCATGTCCCTTTACGGACTATTACTAAGCGAAAAAAGTACTGTCCATGGGTAACTGACAACGTTAAGCTTCTCATGACATTGCGCAATGAAGCATATACCAGATTCCGGGCTGGCGGCAATCCTGTACATTTTCTTTATTATAAACAGTTGAGGAACTTCACTAATGCCTCCCTTCGAAGAGAGAAGAAAGCTTACTTGAATTATGGTTTTCGAGATCGCACTTCGAAAGGACTTTGGAACAATTTTAGAAATCTAGGAATTGTTCGCAGTAACACCCATTCTGTCCCCGCTAGTATTGGTGATGCAGATCAAATTAATGACTTTTTCTTGTCTACCCAAAGTAATGAAGTAACAGCGATCCTTCTCTAATAAACAATTATGAAAATACCTCCCTACCTCAAATTTCAGAAAAACTTTATTTTACCTTGACTTCTACAGAGGAAATGTACATCTATATAATTTATATAATATGTAAGGAATTTGTTTTACTTTTATTTTAGTTATATATTATTTTTTTTTTTTTCATCTCATTTCATTTTGGTTTTGTTCTTTTTTTCTCTCTTTTTCTTTTGATTCTGCGACGTACATCGTATTGTGTCGTTTAGTTTAATTTCTACTAGTAGTATGTAATTTAATTTGAGGATTGATGAAAAACAGTAGGCTTACACCATTGATTGGTGCTAGCCAAACTGACTCAATTCTCTTTTGTTCATTGTTTCGAATTAATTTGTATATTTCCAATGTATTTACTGTTATTATGTGAACCAATAAATATTGTTTATTATTATTATTAACAATACGGGCAACATCAGTTACTGACAACGGCATTTTTAACAACTGTCAATTTACTATTCGAAACAACTGACATACGCTACCTAGCGCGCCACCTTAGACTTTTTATGCTTGTTTGTCTTGTTTTCACAGGCGTTCGCTTTAAAACACTGCATCTTTGTTAGTAACAGAGCTAATACTAACACTAATAATAGTGAATAAAAAACAAAATGTTCAGAAAAGATTGGGCTACCGTTTGATTCCATGGAATCAAACGATGCTACATGCAGATGCTACATCAGAGAATAATCAACCCTTCGATCAAAAAAAGAATCATCAAAATCGAATGAGTGGTTCGCGAGAAAGCCAGCTTTGAAATTGTGGCTCAATTTTAGTGGCCGATTTTTTTTGCCGGTCAGTGTATTATAGGGGTTGACTTTTTCACCACCTGAAATAACATTTCAGTGTTACAAAAATCGTTAAAAAGTATCATTTTAGTAGCTAGTTATCTGCCAAATATCATTGTTCTAAGTTCTTCTATAGTAGATACATTAAATAAAAGCAATTCTTTCCCTTAACTTTAGAGTACAACCCTCTAAAGTTAAGGGAAAAACTTGGAGGGGAAGAAGTTTTGGACAAAAAAGTATATGAGGACCCCCTTAATTTTTGCTGAAAAATCATCTTTAAAATCTTTTGCTTCAATTTAGAAACTATATTGAATAAATATACAGGCTATATTGAAAAAAAAATATTTAATCTCAATTTACTAAAAGAATTTAAAAAAATAGTAATTAAATTAATAAAAATTATAATTAAAATATATCTCTTTTAGTAAATAAAAAACAATTTAAAAAAATAAGAAATAAAGAAAAAGTAAAATCAATAAAATTTATTAAGTGAAAAAAATTAATATATAAAAATTAGTCAAATCCACAAAAAGCAACAAAATCCACAAATTACAACTTTTTATAATCGTTTAAAACACTTTCTAATTTTTGAAAAGCCTCTAAAAAACATTCATCATTAACACCATATTTTGCATAGTGATGTAAATAGGCGGAGTGAACGAAAAGGTTCCAAGCATCTTCCAAGATAAAATTTAAACTATTACAAATATTGTTATTATTCGTCAATAAAGAAACATAATTGTTATAATATGAAAATTCTCGATCTTGTAGATAATGAACGAATTTTGCGGTATCAGGAACCCAATTAACATAAGAAGATGGTTCAAAATATCTTTTTATATCATTTTCTTGGGGACTAGAAACACCGCGAGTAATTAATACGTTTCCTATATATCTTATTTTCTTGCACAATGTATTTTTTATAACCAAATCTGTTTTAGCGTTTCTAACAACCTGTCCGAGTAATGAAGGCCATGTTTGTACAGGTTCAAAACTTGAATTGTCTTTATTAAAATAAGGTGCACTTGAGATTTGCAAATATTTATAAGAGGGGTGAGCAGAAACGTTCGAAATTAAATTTGGGAGTGTTATTTGCTTAATTGGTTGCATAACAGAAGCTAATTGTTGAGAAATAATATTATTTAAATCTCTTAATTGTAACTTTTTCATTGGAAATAAACGTGAGCAAATCGAATGGGTTTTATCATTTTCAAAGATTATTGAACAATCAGTCACATCGTACAATTTAGATAATGTTAAAAGAGTGTTATAATTTTGTGTAACAACATCCCCTTTTTTAAACGGAAACACAATAACATTTACAATAAATTTTGATGAGTATTCTTGACGTACAGCTTCAATAATTTTACTGCCAACACCTGATCCAGTCCCTCCAGAAGAACTTAAAACATTTAATATACACCCTAACATATCACAGCGTTCAATTTCTTTTCTTAACTTTTCCAAGGTTTCATCTTGAACCAAAACACTACGTGAATTGTATCCAAAAGCCCAGTTATTTGCAGATCCACCATAAGCATTCGAGACAATATTTCTATATTTAATCGCTTTTCCTTTATTTACAGTCTTTGTTACTTTATCCTCTGTATCAACCAAGACAGCTTTTGGCTCTAAAAAGTCTTTTCGAACATTAAACCATTTGCTAAGAGCCTCCTGCTTATAATCATTTGAACTTTTACCGTTCTTCGTAGTCATTTGAATATCATTGTAAAGAAACTCGTAAAAGGAATGCCCCACTTGATTTCCACATTGCCCGAATTGCAACACTACGTTACTCATCCCGTTTCTTTTTAAGCGTATATTAAGCTATAATGAATAAGAAATGGACATTTTTTTGGTTAGGTTATGCATAGGTTATGTTTTAGATTTTATGAATTACAAAGGTAAAAATGGTGACAATGATCTTTTTAAGAACAGATAAATAAGATGTACTTACTTGTAGGTGGGTGCGGTTATTCTGGAGGGAAAACAAAAAGAAAAACACGAATTTTAAACTAAATTTAACTATTTCAAAGGCAGTTTGACATTTGGATGCAAAGTGATTTAGACGCCATCTGTTATGAAACAAGTTGAACCTTATTGATCATTTGAAATTTATATTTTTGGGGAATTGTACTAATTCCCCAAAATGGTAAATCTTTAATTTATTGAAAAATCTATTCTAGTTAAATTAGAAGGTGTTTAAGTTAACAATATATATATAACATATGCATAATGCAAATACTAAAGAAGTTTATTACTTTATTTGGATGGTGTGACATCTATATTTTAAAGAATAAACTAAGCACTTTAGATTTAAACTACTCATAGTTGTGAAATTTATTTATTGAGAAGAAAATTTGGTGAGTCAATTATTTGAGAATAAAATTTAATAAAACTGATTAAAAATGAGTAAAATTAGTAATATTTTGTGGAACAAATATTGCTCGTTGCCCAGTTCTTTCTCCCTTATACAGGTGTATCTGAATGACTGCAACAAACTTCAAGGGGTGATTCTTTAGTGAATTTTAAGGGTACTTTGATATATGAACCATGGGCGACTTCGGCTCCCCTAAGGAGCTACACCCCTCCAGAAATGGCGGAAAATTTTGGTTTAATTTGTTTTTCTCAAAAACCATAAACGCTAGGAAACTGAAATTTGGGGAATATGTTTAACTCATAATAGGGCATGTTTTGACCCTACTTGTACTTTCAACCTATCCTTCTAAACTACTAAACGTAACCACCCCCTTCACATTTTTGCTAATATTTTTTGTATGCAGATGATAAATACATTAAAAAAATTTTATCTAGGTAGATGAAAGTATCCTAAAACTTTTTTGTCTCTCTAAAATTTTTCCAAAAACGACTAATTTTTGAGAAAAAAAATAATAAAGCAAACACTGCACGTTAAATATTAGGGTTGTCGATCAAAAGTTGGAATGAATTTATAATGAAAAATCTTAGTAGGCTTTGGAAAGTTTGTCAGAAATATTTTTGACGTTTAAATGTCAGTGTTTTTCTTATTATTATTATGTTTTTCAAATTAATTTTTAAATAAAGTTCTATCGCATTTACGCTCGTTCACTCGACGTTTCAAAATTTTAAATAAAACAATAATAATAGTACGAAAACCACTGACATTTAAACGTCAAAAATATTTCTGACAAAGATTGCAAAGCCTACTAAGATTTTTTCATTAAAAATTCATTCCAACTTTCGATTAACAACCCTACGGCTTAACAGTTAGTGTTTACTTAATTATTTTCTTTTTCTCAGAAATTATTCAATTTTCGAAGAACATCAAAAAGACAAAAAAGTTTTAGAATAGTTTTATCTATCTAACTGAAATTTTTCCAATGTATTTATCATCTTCATAAAAAAAATCTAAGCATAAATTGAACGGGGGTGGTTACGTTTAGTAGTTTAGAAGGATAGGTTGAAAGTACAAGTAGGGTCAAAACATGCCCTATTATGAGTTAAACATATTCCCCAAATTTCATTTTCCTAGCGTTTATGGTTTTTGAGAAAAAAAAATAAACCAAAATTTTCCGCCATTTTTGGAGGGGTGTAGCTCCTTAGGGGAGCCGAAGTCGCCCATAGTTCATATATCAAAGTACCCTTAAAATTCACTAAAGAATCACCCCTTGAAGTTTGTTGCAGTCATTCAGATGCACCCTGTATACATAACACCTTGTGCATTTATAATAGCCTTGTTTATACAGGTGTCACCCAAAAAACGCCCCAAGTTGTAACTCTGTTATTTACATTCCGATTTTCATGAGCCAGGTATCAAATGAAATGGTTTGATGAATACTATGATTCATACTACAAATAAATTTTTTCCAATGCCATCTTCAATTTCAAGCGATTATCAAGTTTTGATTTTTAAATTGCTCGGTATGTTTTTCTTCGCGCTATTGGATAGAGATTCTTTTTCTGAATCCATTAATGTACAGGTGGGCAAATTTGGGTGTTATTATAGGCTATCTCAGAAACTATAAGAGATACGAAAAAAGTAGGTGCCATGTCCCGGTCTCTTTTTTCGAGACTGACCCAATCCCGCAAACACCAAACCTCTATCTTCTTTTGTTTTTAAGTTATAGCCAAAAAGTCAAATTTTGATGATTTAAAAAACTGCTCATATTTCGTTTATTTTTGAAATTAGAGAAATGGAGTTGATACGTTCTTAAGACATTTTTTAAGTAGAATATACTGCCGTTCAAAAATTTTAAAAATATTTGATGATTTTTGAGATACAACACAAAGTTGTATTTTTTTAAATATAAACTATAGTAGATTATGGTGTTACTGAAAAGAGCATATTTTTAGCTTTCCAATGATGTATTGCACGCATGGTGTATTTGGGGAAAATAAGCGTTAATTTTCAATACCAAAATAGTAAGCGCTATGGTTCAAACTTTTGATTATAGTAGGCGGTTTTGCACGAATATAACAGAATAAAGTTCGTTTTGTACCAACGAATAAAAACTTTGAATAGTTAATTTAAATTTCTCAGCATCTTTGTTCACCAATAAAAAAATGGTTAGCAAGTAAAGGTTGTTTATTAAAAATACAAGAAATGTATTAATAACTGAATAATTAAAAATGGACAACTTCAGGAACTAAACAGTCACAAACTGTCATCTTCTTCTACTAAACTTACTGGTAAGGTTAGAACAGTTCGGAATCAATGAATAAAATCTTCGGTAGTATTTTCCCAGTTTTCCCCGAACATCAGATTTAAAAGTTTTTTCATATCAGCAACCTTTTCTTTTGAAATTGGGTGAGATAGAGGAAAATTAAGGATCATAAACTGGGAGCGAACTTTACATTGAAACACCGTTTGAATGGGGATATGAAGACTTATGTATCATCTTCAAAGCGGACTCCAATATATTCCATATTTAGTTTTATCGTTTTATTTAAAGATAATGCGGAACTTTTTAAACGGGAAACTCGTTTCGTAATAATAATAATAATAATAGTAATTAATGAAATGACTAGTAAACTCACGTTGCTATAGTAACTAACTAGCATTTAGCGATTTCCTCGCCTACTATAATTANGAGAAGAAAATTTGGTGAGTCAATTATTTTAGAATAAAATTTAATAAAACTAATTAAAAATGAGTAAAATTAGTAATATTTTGTGGAACAAATATTGCTTGTTGCCCAGTTCTTTCCCCCTTATATACATACAGAATGTATTCAGATACAGGTGTATCTGAATGACTGCAACAAACTTCAAGGGGTGATTGTTTAATGAATTTTAAGGGTACTTTGATATATCAACTATGGGCGACTTCGGCTCCCCAAAGGAGCTACACCTCTCCAAAAATGGCGGAAAATTTTGGTTTAATTTTTTTTTCTCGAAAACCATAAACGCTAGGAAAATGAAATTTGGGAAATATGTTCAACTCATAATAGTTTTGACCCTATTTGTACTTTCAACCTACCCTTCTAAAGTACTAAACGTAACTACCCCCGTTCAATTTATGCCTAGATTTTTTTTTATGAAGATACATTGGAAAAATTTCAGTTAGATAGATAAAACTATAAACTTCTTTGTTCCTCTGATGTTCTTCTAAAATTTAATAATTTCTGAGAAAAAAAATAATTAAGCAAACACTAACTGTTAAGCTGTAGGGTTGTTAATCGAAAGTTGGAATGAATTTTTAATGAAAAAATCTTAGTAGGCTTTGCAATCTTTGTCATAAATATTTTTGACGTTTAAATGTCAGTGGTTTTTTTTAGTATTATTATTGTTACTAAACCCAAAATTTCATTTTCCTAGCGTTTATAGTTTTTGAGAAAAAAAAATTAAATCAAAATTTTCCGCCATTTTTGGAGGGGTGTAGCTCCTTAGGGGAGCCAAAGTCGCCCATGGTTCATATATCAAAGTACCCTTAAAATTCACTAAAGAATCACTCTTTGAAGTTTATTGCAGTCATTCAGATACATCCTGTATAATAGCCTTGTTTATACAGGATGTTCCGGTGACTCGGGGAACAAATTTAACCATATATACTAGAGTGAAAATGATGATGATTCATGTAAAAAAAATTAGTAATAGTCTTCAAATTTCAAAGATACAAGCCATCAAAGTTAGGAAATTTTAACACATTTTTCCAAATATCTTAAACACTATTTACAGTAAAGCGCTGAAATTTGGTACAGTATAAATCAATGTGATGTAAAATCGTTAGGCAATTTATGAGTTGGATCGGTCCGCAGGAACAATGCTATACAGGCTGTTCCTAAAGTTTGTTTGCCCAAAACTTTTTTATTCTATCATAACTCTACATTTATTTTTGCAGTTTCTAATAGTAAATTTAGTTTAGAAACTTTTATTACTCTTAGATAATATTAAAAATTTAAAATGATTCGATGAAAATGGGTTTCGATTTCAATAATAGCACTAAAAAAAAAGAAATCTATGTTTTTGAACATTTCCTTTAGTATTTTTTATTACTTGTCTTGTTATTTTATGTACTTTTTTATTATTCCTGTTAGTGTTGTCGTTTTTTTGTTTATTTTTTTTTTTGATTCTTTTATTGAACCAACTAAAACAAATTAAAAATGTGATTTACCTAAATCTACACTTGGACATGTTGCATACATAATAGTTATGAAAGCTCAGTTCGATTTTCACTTGTCATTGCCAATTCAGATTATTTATTTATTTTTTTTAGTGTTATTGAATTCGGAGCCTAACATTTTTTGCATTTAATACGAAAACGGTGGATTTTATCAATATTCTCTAAGAGTGATAAAAGTTTCTAAACTAAATTTACTATTAGAAACTGCAAAAATAAATGTGGGGATATGATAAAATAAGAAAGTTCTGAACAAACAAACTTTAGGAACAGCCTGTATAGCATTGTTCCTGCGCACCGATCCAACTCAAAAATTGCTTAATCATTTTAGGTGATATTGGTTTACGTTGTATCAAATTTCAACGCTTTACCATAAATAGTGTTTAAGATATTTAGAAAAATGTGTTAACATTTTCTAACTTTGATGGCCTGTATCTTTGCAATTTTTTTCTACATGAATCGTCAT